CAAATTATACAAGTTTGCATTTTTGCTTCTTAAGATAGGCAATCTATCAATTTTTTGGTGATGTTTAAGATAGCAAGCTCTTTCTTCTCTTTTGAGAAGTGCCATTTTTTATTACAAAGTGCAAGCTAGCAAAATTTTATATTATTTTACAACATAGCTAGCAATTTTACAAGTGTTACTTCTCTTTGAAGTACGAAGGCTAGCAAGTTTTTGAAAAATAATGTAAGATAACAAACGAGCAAGATATAATGTTTTACATGAAGCAAGCTACATGAAGTACATTTGCATCTTCTCTTTAGATGTGCTAGCAAGCAAGCAAGTTTTTCTCCTTACAATTTGTGAGCTAGCAAATTTTATACATATGAAAGTTGGCAAGATTTTTGCATCTTTTTTAGATGAGCAAGCTAGCTATCTCCCCCTTTGTCATTGTCAAAAAGAAGGAAAGAATACAGTTTTGTATCTCTTTTTTCCTTTACAATAATTTTCAAATCATGACAAAGGATAAATAACAAAGATGAAAAATCAAGTCATGAATGTCAAAATAATTTTTCATCATGAATATTTCATCATTGCATGCATCATTATCATAAGTTGAAGTATATTTCCAAAATATAAATATAAAATCATCATGTATATTTCCAAAATATAAAATGTATGATTCCAAATCATCATTTATAATTACATCAATATTCTAATCATTATTTCAAACATCAAAAATGAAAGATCAAGTCTAAAATTCAAGAGATCAAGATCATAATCCGAAAAATGTATAAGAAGAATTTATGCATTTGGAAGATCTAACATGTCTAAGTTTATCATTCAAGCTAGCAATTTTCTTTCTCCCCTTTGTTATCGTAAACAAGAAAAAAGTAGAGTGGAAGAATATAATTTTTACATCAATACTCTACTTATAACATGAGGTTTACAACCACAAATACAAAGAAATTTACACATCATGCCATGAAAGATAATAATATCAAATCATGAATGCCACGAGACATGATTTATTTCATCAAATCTCTTCTTTTTATAAATAGCACAAAGAAACATAGGAGATCAAATGATACAATATCTTGATTCATGCATAAGAAATCTCAAATTATAAATCTCGAAAAATCAAGATAAAGCTAATTCAAATTCAAATTATCAAATCAAAATCATTTTCAAGAGATTCTAAGAATAAAGATAAGTTCATTAGTCTCTCCTTTTTGAAAAGTCGATAAAGTTGAGAAATTTTTTAAGGAGAAAGCTTTCATTTTTTTTAGTGATTCAATTTATAAGATTGATTTCATAGAAGCATGTCTTTTTCATTTATGCCAAATAAAAACATGCATCATTCATTAACACCGAAAAAGAACTTTCAAAAGATCGTAAAAATTTTCATGCAAAAGTTCAAAATATAAACTCGTTAAGCATGCTTTCAAATCATCATTACATTTTCATTAAGACATCAAGCATGGTTTCGTTGAACATAATGTTGAATGATTCTTAAAGATATCTAAACTTCTTTAGTTTCAATTTATGTAATTGACTTTATATTAGCATGCCCAAATATTTGTTCTTATGTCAAAACCATGCATCAACGTTTAAAACGAAAAAATCAAAAATCATCAAGATCAAAAAATATAACACATAATTCCAAAACATATGATTTTAAATCATTACTTCAAGTTTTCATGCATAAAAATCATCAAGTGTGATATAAACATTTATTTTCAAAACATTCATCATGATAAAGTATTTTTTAATCAAAATTATTTTGTTTGTTTATCATAAAACATGATTATTTTTAAAATCACTAGAAAGGTAAGCATGATCCAATTTTATTTTTGCATTGTCATTAAACATGCAATTCAAAAAAATATGATTTTTCTAATCTAATTTAAGAATAACTCATGAAAAGCATTATGTAATTTTAAAATAAATAAAAGGAGTTTTGTTTGAGTTGTTTACCTCGTTGTCGAATGTCGTTAAGGCGTAGTTTGCCACTTCGCCTTTGTTGATTTTCTCCTTATCTTCAGATGAGCTCGATTCGTCCAAAGTCGCATTCTTCTTCTTTTTAAGTTCGTTTTTAATTTTTGATTCTTATTTTAAAATTTTAATGGGGAGTTTAAGTTCACCATCACTTGAGCTTATGCTCGAGTGGTCTTTAATTGTTCTAAGTCCGAAATCCTTCCTGTTTTTTGGAAGGTGATTTTCAAGTTCTTTACGTACATTGTGCGTCATTTCGTATGTCATTAATAAACCAAAAAGTTCTTCAAGTGAAAAATTATTAAGATCTTTTGCCTCTTGTATTGCGATTACTTTCGGATCCCAACTCTTATTAAGAGAACGTAAAATTTTATTTACAAGTTCAAAATCCGAAAAATTTCTACCAAGTACTTTTAAACCATTGACGACATCCGTAAAACGGGTGTATATGTCAACAACAGTTTCACTTGGTTTCATATGAAACAATTCAAAATGATACATTAAAATATATAATCTTTGAAACTTTTACTCTACTAGTGCCTTTTGTGTGTGATTTAAGAGTGTGCCAAATATCGAAAGTCGTTTCGCACATAGAAACATGATTAAATTCATTTTTATCTAAGGCGCAAAATAAAGCATTCATAGCTTTCGCATTTAAAGAAAAAGTCTTCTTCTCCAAATCATTCCATTGGTTCATTGGAAGAGAAGACCTTTGAAATTTATTTTCGATAATATTCCATAAATTTAAATCTAATGAAAGCAAAAAAACTCTTATTCGAGTTTTTCAATATACGTAGTCTGTCCTATTAAACAAGGGAGGACGAATGAGAGAGTGGCCTTCTTGAAAGCCGAAAAGAGTCATTCTCTTGGGTGTTAAACCAAATGAGAAATACGAGGCTCTGATACCAACTGTTAGGAACAAGTCGGCACTAAGAGGTGGGTGAATTAGTGCTGCGGTAAAAATATCAGTTTAAGAAAATTTTTTCATTTCATACGATAAAACTGATTTTGGAAACTTGAAAGCATATACGAGTATAGGCATAGTAAAAGCACAGTAAGAATGAGAGGCAGTTTGCTTATAAAAGTAAATTGCAAGAAGTAAAGGTAAACTGGATTTTTACAGTGGTTCGGTCGTCGTGACCTACATCCACTCCGTTGATTCCTTTTGTGTCGAGGCCACCAGCATCCTTTAATAGGCAAAGTTCAGCCTCCTTCTTACACCCCTCTTCTCCTTTTCATAGATTTAGAAGACAACCTTTAGAAGCACTCACTCCTCTCTCAAACTATTCTAACACTTAGACTAGAGGAGGATTCTCACAAGAGATTACAACAACATTTTTTCCTTTTTAAATTCTTTGTGCTTGTGTTAGTTAACCAGGGATGAGAGGGGTATTTATATGCTTCAAGTTGATTCAAACTTGGAGCATAAAAAGGTCTCATCCTAGGTTTCCTAGGTACTAGCGGTACCATTGTCGTTCCTGGGCGGTATTACCGTCGTAGGATCTGCCATTAGGCGGTACCACCACCTGACAGGGGCTGTACCACCCATGGCAGCATTCACTGTTGACGATACCACCGCCCAGAATTCCTGGGGTGCTATTCCCTAGACGGTGCCACCATCGGCCAAGCTTTCAACACCCTGGTTGGGCCTTGAATCTGGCCCAAACTAGCCCAACTTTGGGCCTAATTAGCCCCTAACAAAGTTGATGGGATTACCTCCCAATCCTAACTCTAATTATGCGCTAACTATAATTCTTAAGACATATTCTAAGCACAATAAGTTCGGTTTCTTCCGGCGAGCTTCCGGCGAACTTCCGATGATCTCTCAGCAATGTTCCAGCGGACTCCCAGCAAGCTCCTAAACTTCACGATGATCTTCTTGGTGAGTTCTGATAAGCTTCTTTGGCAAGCTCCAGGACTTCTTGGTCAATTCTGGTAGAACTTCCGACGAACGTTTGGACTTCCGATGAACTCTCGAACTCTCAACGAAATCGCATTCTTGACTTCAAGACTTCATTTTACTTTATGTCTTGCTATCGTAGTTAATCCTACACACATAAAAACACACTTCAATCTAGATAATTATTATGAAGCATGAATCATGTCGTCCGGCATGTCATTGGTCCATCGATGCTTCGTCCGATTCTTCGACGCATCATCCTCTTGCGGCCTATTGCCCAATCAACTAGTTGACCTCCGCAACTCCGATATTCTTGGTACAATATCCGCTCTTCTTGGCCCGATGCCCGAATCCATGGCCCAAAGCCTTCTGTCGATACGTCGACTGATCCTCCGGCCCGACGTCTAATCTTCTGACATGATTTCCTCCGGCCCAACATGATTCTTCCTGCTTTAATTGTCTCTCCCTGATCGAAGCATCCTATGTCACTCAAAACGCAGATCAAATCATAAATACTATCAATTGGTTTCATCATCAAAATCTGAGATTCAATAGTGGTTAGTTGCTATCCTGGAAGAGATAGATGCTCTTCAGAAGAACCACACTTATGATTTGGTGCAACTACCAAAGAAAATGAAGGCCTTAAAGAACAAGTGGGTTTTCAGGTTGAAGACTCTAGAATATTGTTCTCAACTAAAGTACAAAGCTAAATTGATTGTGAAAGGCTTTGGTCAAAAGAAAGGTATTGACTTTGAAGAGATTTTTTCTCCTGTTGTTAAAATGCCTTCTATTTGTGTTGCTCTTAGTATTGCTGCTAGCCAAGACTTTGAGGTTGAGTAGTTAGATGTGAAGACAACTTTCCTTCATGGTGATTTGGAGGAGAAAATTTATATGGAGCAACCAAAAGGTTTCAACGTCAAAGGTAAAGAGAACTTTGTTTGCAAGTTAAGGAAGAGCTTGTATGGGTTAAAGCAAGCTCCTAGACAATGATACAGAAAGTTTGATTCATTTATGACTGAAAATGAATACAAAAGAATAGCTTCAGATCATTGTGTGTACATCAAACGGTTTGGTGATGATTTTATTATTCTCTAACTTTATGTTGATGACATTCTTATTCTTGGAAAAGATATATCTACAATTGATAGGTTGAAGAAAGAACTGAGTGAGTCTTTTACAATGAAGGACATAGGCCCAGCAAAGCAAATACTGGGCATGTAGATTTCCCGTGACAGAAAAACCAAGAAGATTTGGTTGTAAAAGGTTCAGTATGAGCAATGCAAAGCTAGTTGGTTCTTCTCTTGTAGGTCACTTCAAGTCGTGCTTAGAACAAAGTCCGTCAAGTGATGAGAAGAAGGAGAAAATGTAAAAAGTTTATTATGCTTCAATAGTTGGAAGTTTAATATATGTAATGGTATGTATGAGACTGGACATCGCATATGCAGTAGGTTTTACTAGCAGATTTTTTGCAAATACAGGCAAAGAGCACTAGGCAATAGTGAAGTAGATTTTTAGATATCTCAAAGAAATCTCTAAGGTTTGTTTAAGCTTTAGAGGTGGACCACTTGTGTTGACAGGTTACATAGATATAGATATGGCAAGAGATATTGATACGAGGAAGTCCATATTAGGTTTTGTACTTACTTTTGTAGGGGGGACTGTGTCATGGCAATCAAGATTGCAAAGGTGTATTGCTCTCTCCACCACAAAGGCAGAATATATTGCTGCTATAGAGGTTTACAAAGAAATATTATGGATGAAAGAATTCTTACAAGAATTGGAGCTGAAATAGAAAAACTATGTGGTGAATTGTGATAGCCAAAGTACCATCCATTTGTGTAAGAACTTAACTTTTCATTCCAAGTTAAAACATATAAATGTTAGATACCACTGGATTCGAAATGTATTTGAAGAGAAGCAGTTGCAGCTTCGGAAAATTCACACATATGATAATGAAGCAGCATGTTAACAAAGAACTTACCAAAAGAAAGAGAGAAGATGTGCCGATAGCTGATCGGCATGGCTTTACATTGAAGAGTCATGAGACGGCCTCCCTTATGGGTTGAAGGGGGAGGTTATTAGGCTGACATCCCATAGGTTCAGCCCATGGTGGGCTTTAATAGCCCACAACCTACCCCCCTTTCTTCAAACCCTAAATCCAAATTAGGAGGGTGTGGTGGCTATGATTTTTGGGGGAGAAAAACTATAGCAATGAGGCAGATTTTGCTGCAGCTACGTGATTCCAAAAATTAGGAGAAAATGGCAGAAAAATGAGAGAAGGAAAGGGAAAAAGATAATGATAACGTAGAGAGGTTGTTCTCAATCATCCATGCAGTATTCTCATCTCAAGTTAGATCAGATCTGCAATAGATTCTTGCTGTGATTACTTGAGGAGAATTTGGATATTATGCATAATGACGTAATCTTTGTATCCCAGTTATTCTCTTTTGATTGTTGCTAGGGTTTTGGGAAAAGATTGAGATTTGTATATTCATTATTCTTATAGTGGATTATCTCTAGTTTGCCCCGTGATTTTTTTCCTTCACGTTGGAGGGATTTTCTACATAAATCTTAGTGTTCTATTTGATTGTGATTCTATTTAATTCTACTACGTGTTATGACCTACTAGTATTTATTTATATATAAAAATTATTTCATTTTATATCCCTTCAAAGCTTAGACATAGGTTGGGTTGGGAGCTCAGAGCCTTTGAACACGTATTCGTTCAGATCCCGCATATGTATCCACCTCAATATCGCTTATAGAGGTAGATGAAACGAGAAAAAAAAGGATCAAGCATCAACTCGGGAGAAGAGTGTCACCTCTTGTAAGACCAAGCGAAGGAGGACGGCATGTCCTTTAACTTGTAACTTGTAATCGTAACTTGTTCTTCCTCAAAACACTTTAATGTAGTCGTCATTCGAGTCTAGTAGTATATGTTAATGCATTGTGTTCTTTACTTGTTGCCATGCCTAGTGTTTTTGTTCGTGATAAATGCATCTTTGTTCTGCACCTTCCAAATCTCTCTTTTGGATTTTATGATAAATGTCCTGATGCAAGGGTAATTCTTTTTTTCTGTATAACTTTGGAATCTGAATTAGCTTTGGATTTTATGATAATGTCCCAAAGCTGATGCTGCTGGGTCCAATCCCTTAGCCACAAAATTATCAGATATCAGATATTTACGTTCGAGATTATTAAGGTGAGTAAGTACTTTTGGAATCCATTATAGAGAATATAATAAACAGTTATTATACATTGAACATCAACCTTTTTTAAACTCTTATTGATACTTGTGAACTGATCACAGAACATTTGTTACAGAATCCAAATCTTACAAATTGGTGGTTGGCATTCAAATCATTTTTTGGATTTATAACTCTTTATCTGTGGCAAAGCAAATGGTCACAGGATTGGCACTAATCAGATGTATGGAATCAGAAAATGACTTGTTTAAATTATGCTTGAAACTTATCAAATCTATTATATGACTTTGCATGTTCCATTGGCATGAAGCAGATGTATGAAGATGTCAGGAGTCACATTGCTACATCATTAAAGAAAGGTTATTACAGGTCATTGATTCCTGACCAAGCCAAACATGTAATTTTGCACTGCATGCAACTCAAGTCATGGGTTGAGGTTTTTCCAGAGTGAGAAAAAAGGAATTGAGAATTGGTAGTTTTTTTTTTAACTAATATAATTAATTTTGTCAGTAATTTGTATGCACTGAAATTTTAGTTTAGAAATCATGGGGACCTTATCTTTTTGGGTTTAATGCATTAAAAAGCGTTTTACTCATTTTATTTTTAATTAAATTTTATATTTTATTTTTTCTGTTCTTCTTATTTTTTATGCTCTAGAACTCTTAGTTTTTAATTTCTAGAGTAATAAATAGGCAAAGAAACGAAAAAAAAACAATTGATTTTTTAAGATACAAAATTAATTATATGCTGAAAAAGTGGAGCCCTTTGCAGTAAAAAAAAAAAGTATACATCATAAATGTGAAAAAAAAAAAAAAAGACTGTTTCCAGGTTAAATAGTAACCCATTAGAATATGGATCTCTACCAAAGATCTCTACAGCAACAACAACAAGAAAAAATCCTCATGTTACAAAAAGTTGACCATTAGGTGTGTGTGTGTGTGAGAGAGAGAGAGAGAGAGAGAGATGGTTCTCTTGGCAACCTCGATTATTGGCTTTCCTTTTCCAAACTCAATTATTGGCTTTTCTTTTCTTAAGCTGTCATTCTAACAAGCAATTTCCAACGACGCCAACTCCGACGTCACTTACCGCGAGCATTCATCATATCATGCTTGTGTAACAATTTTATTTTTTATTTTGTCTATGTTCGTTATTTTAGAAAATGCAATCAAGCAGAATAGATTTTCTGAGAATTATTTTATGTGGGTGGATCGCATTCCACTCGTGTTGTTTATCAATCATTTTGGACACTGACTTGCATGAGCCGTTTTGTAGGTCTGTCAGGAATTAATAGACACTTTTCTTTTCCAAAAAAGAAAGAAAAAAAAAAGTCATATTAGACTTGTGTGCATGGTAAAAGCTATCAAGGCCCAGTATAAAATTCCTCTTTGACCGGAAGTTGACAAGTTATCGATTTCTAATTTTCTTCTGATCCTATCGGTCAGTGCAATCCTATTTTTATGATCATGGTTAGAACATGAAATGAAATGATAAGTCTTGAGTCGTTAGGTCGTTGGTTGAATTGATGGATCAATCGATTTCTAATTTTCTTCTGATCCTATCGGTCAGTGCAATCCTATTTTTATGATCATGGTTAGAACATGAAATGAAATGATAAATAATTGATCACATGATGGTAAGATCTAAGATTTTTATTACTTATTGTTAAAAAAAAAAAAGAGAGAAAGTAGAAAGGGTAATTATAGATTATTCTTCGTAATTATCTACCTTTAGTATTCCGATCCTTATATATTTAGAAATTTCATTATGACCTCTATACTTATCAAATCAAAACATTTATTCTTATTATTTCTTATATCGTCAATTCTATTAACAAAAATATAATAAAATTTACCATTGTATACACGTTGACTTTATCTCATTTCGATTTATCACCGAGTACGTATGATATTTTTATCAATAAAATGGATAACGTGAAGAAAAATAAGATTAAATGTCTTACTTTTCTAAATATAATATTTTTATTATAATTTTTTAAAATATAAAGATCGAGATTCTAAAAATAATTAATTATAATTAATCGAATATTATATATATATATATATATATATATATATCTTAAAAGATTAGGTCAAGTTGTATGTCAACGAGGCGTTGACTTTTTATTATTTTGTGGTATTTGAATATTTGTACATACTCTTTCTTCAAGACATTTTTAATCCAAGTATGCATGCTTGACAGAATCAAACTCTTTGCCCTCCTGGTAATACGATTGACAACATCAATGGAACGAACAAGTGTCGTGTCATACCAATTCCATTGAAACAGCGGTTTACAAGTCTCGGAAAAGCTTGATCGGTCCATACACTAATTTATTTCTTCTTCGTTACATAACCATATTCACATTTATGTTCTATTTTAGAGCGAATGTACACACAATTGTAAGTGTTTGTCAACTTCGTTATCTTAATAACAAATCCTCGTAAATAGACAATAAATTGACTCTTACCGTTGTTTTAATGTGGTGAAGGCGTTATATAAATATAGCAAGAGACTCAAACAAATTGAACGAGTCATTCCCACACCTCCCCCCGCCCCCAAATAAAAAACCCACGACCAAAGAATAACTCTTGTGCAGATTATGATTATGATTATGATTATTGTTATTATTAAAATATGAGTGAAAGAGTGGGTTATTACTTACTATTAAACAAGAAATATCTTTGCTAGTCAATTTTAGATTTTTAATTTTTTTTTCAAAAAAAAACAAGGTTGAAAATTCATCGCATTAGTTTTCAAACTGTCATTGCATCACAGTGATGTAATGAGATTAGAACAAGAATGATTGTGATTCATTGCATTACAGTGAATCTCCAACTATAAATCGATTTAAACCGTTGATACGAGAATAAATAGATGTGATATACCAGCATCCATCGATAATTTGGGTGTAAGATGAGATTTTGCTTTTCTAAACCAACATGAGTTAGATGAACGGTGCTTAATTATTATTATTATTATTATTAGTATTATTATTATTATTATTTTTATTGATCGGCATTAATTCTTAATTGATGATTAATTAATACCAAGGTTGTTCTAGAAGCATAACAACTACCGAAGCAAAAGACTTCACGGAGAAGCCCAGCCTGGCTTACTGAGCACACCCCAGCCTGTTTGGTTCTGCTTCCTTCCACCGACCTGCCTCGATTCCTCCTCACCGAATTACTACTCTGCTTTGCTACCTGTCCTTCCCACATCCGCAGACCCCAACTACCGGAACACAACCCCTCCTCCCTCCCTCGCCCCCCTCTCATTGCACGTCTCATTATATATATATATACAGGGAGGGAGATCTGGTAGAGGGGCGATGGCGAAGGGGAGCGTGTGGGAGATTGGCGTGAAGGACGTGGTGGCGGCGGGGTTGAAGGCGGACGAGGCGGTGGCCTTCCACGAGGGGCTCCGCCGGTTGGTCGGGGAGGAGCCGCGGGAGGGCGCGGAGGCGGAGGTCTGGCGGGCCGTGGCTGAGAGCGGCCTGTTGCTGCCGGCCCACCCCCACCCCCTCCACCA